AAAGTTAACAGATATGGAATAAGAACATTTAATTTCTTGAAATATTAATATACCTATTATTATCAAGGGTGAATTAAAGATACACTAATAGATGAGAACTCTTGTTAATAAATTATAACTTTATTAAAAGAATGAATTATCTCTATCTATAAAAATATTTAATGTCATTATTATTAAATATAAGTAAATTTTATAATCTATTTTAACGAGCAATATTTTTTAATCGGTGTGTGAATAGTCGTATCATAGTTATGTCTATTGAAGGTTTATTAAATATACGGAGGTCATTAAAAAGGGTTCTATTTCATCTAAGTATTTTAACAATTATTGATAAAAAAAGTAATAAAAACAAATCTCGTATATTTCTTAACTTTTATGTTCTTATAATTTATTAATAATTGCATTAGCCTCTGGTTATATATCAGCAAAATAATAAGCCTTAATTTTCTTTCAGTGTGTGTAATTACTTGAGTTATATAGGATGACCAGAACCGGAACTATTGGAAAGCACTAAATACCTAATAGCTTATTTTATAGACGGGATCAGAATGGCTGGTAAAATTACAAAAATGTCCGTTAGGTACCTACTTTGAATATTTTTAAATAAATTAGTTAGTAGGTATGTTATGTATAGCCTCAAAATATTGTATTATATGGGTTCCGTTAATTTCTATTAGTCGATGTATATAATATTCTTAGGTAAAAATAATTTCAGCCTGAAACAAATTTCAAAATATTTAATTTTAGATTCTATGATATTGCAATGAATTGTTTTTTTATGTATGTAATGGAATTAAATTTCTTACATTTACGTATAAAGATCCAATTTAACTTTGTAAACTTCTGAAAATAAGAGAAACGAGAATAATTGTATTAAAAATATATAATATTAAATTGATATTTAATAGTTGCAGTATTAGTTTTATGCAACATATTCAGACCTTAAAAACTTATAAAAAGCATATGCTGATAACATCTTAAACCCAATCATATTACAAAAAGATAAATACATAACACATATATAGTATAATCTATAAAAAGTAAGATTTATTGCCCATAATTTAACATATTTCGATTATTTATTAATAGGTTATAATGTATGATCGACTTGTTTGGTTGCTGAGCATGTTTATGTTTACATCAAACAAAGCAAAATTAAATAAAGGTCATAATTATTATATTACTCTATTGTATAAGTTCTTCAAACCTGTAATATTTGAGTCTCTAGAGCAAGTTGGAAGTTGTATTAACTTGTGAACCAATTTCTATAGCTTCAAACATTTCAAATATTAAGTTGAAATTTTCAACGACGATATATTTGTGTGAAATGTACGAGTACATTTGATATATCTGAGGTTCTTACAAACCACTGAATTGATCATGTTTAAAAAATGCATTTGTATCATAAAAACTAAAGAAAATAATGATTTTGTCGAAACTGTCTAACTTAAAAATAAGTTTTTTAATTAAATTTGCTAATGTTTGTTATAAAATAAAAACAATTGAGATTTATAAAAGTGGCCTGATTTTTTATTAAAATCCAAATACAACGTAATCTATTAATTTATGTATTAATAGAAATATTGTGCTCTGTGACAAGTCATAAATATTAAATAATATCTATAAAAGTAATAAATGAAAGTAACGTTTGAAGGAAACTTTAATTATAATATTTTATATTGAACACAATTTTTTATGAGAGTCAATATTACATTTTATTCCATCAAATAATATTCTCAAAGTTGAATTCATACAACGTATTATTAAAACGGAGTAAATTGTGAACAATTTGAATTTGTATGGCAGAGAAATATGATTTGTACTAAATGTGGCAGTATATTAAAGAGGAAGCGTACTTATTTGCTCGAGTGGTTTGATTCAGGGTAATGAGCAGAATATCAATTCGTCGAAGAAATACTTAAATATTTCGAATACTTAATTAAAAGGGGTGACAACGTACGCTCATTTATGTGAGTGCGTATGATTGTGTGACCTGAATAATCAGCAGTTTTTGTATGTATTTAAAAATTGTACAACTTACATTGTTTTACTTACTTTTATTTTGAGTTTCAAGTTAAGTTTGTTAAAGTTTTGGGTTCATAAAGACGTTTTATTTATTTGTTAAGCAATTATATAATTCTTTTGCCATTTGAGCGTTTGTTTTCATATATTTAATTTTGGAAATCCGCGAACATAATAATCAAATTTTAGCGTCATCCGTTTCTAACTCCATATATATATAACTCCAAATAACTTAATGTAATAGTGGCGAATTCCGCTGTCCTATTGTGAAAATTCTTCTTTAAGCTTATTGACAAACTGACGACGGGGAATTTATGACAGGTGATATTCCGAGCTTTATAGCAAGTTCATTAAATTTGCTGACCTGTAGAAATTTTGAGAACCTAGTTGTTTGAACATTCTGGTATGATACAATATCTATCTTTAAAATATATATTTGAATGGCATAAGTAATCATAGTAACTAATAATTTTAATTTTTTATCATTTAAACTGAAGTTATTCAACGAGCTATTAAAATTTTCTGAATAAAAATATATTGATGAAGCAACGAACTATGGGAGAATAGCTTATATTTCGTCTCGATACTCCGTATCTCAGTTAATTCAAAATAAAATGTTCTGTAAATTTTCACACATATACGTGAAAGTATGTTTTAATATAAAAAATAAAAATTAAAAAATTATGTTTATTAATTTATTTAAAACATAAAAATAAATATATTTAAATATGTTTTGGCACCGCGTCAGAAAAGGCGCAAGTAATCGCAACTTTTTTTTCTCCTCTTGTAAACTAATGAATAAACATCGTAATACCACAAATATCTCGACAGCGGTAAAAGGTTAGGTCTCGTTACAAAAAAGTAACCCCAAAACTATACAATCTTAAACTATATTGGTTAATTTTAATTAATTTATTTATTATACATAATATTATTAAAGAAACATTATGAGGAGATTTTAAGAATTTCAAAAATGTCTAATAATAATGACATATACATATATCAAAAACTTTCGAGTAATGTGGCGTTGAATTGTAGTAATGTACTGTGCCAAAATTACATTATTGAACATGAGTTAGCTTTGATGCCTTTTTTATGCATTATGGTTCGTAAAAAATAATTTAAAAATATAGAAAACAAAGCTTATTTATACGACTAAATTACTTAATTAGCTTTACTCCATAACAACGACTTTCATGTCAAACGGTGTTGAGACGGTCTTGTATGGGGCTTTCCCATAGTGCAACGTTATTTTTTAACCTAGTAACGTAGGATTCCGTTGGTATATTCTCTTATTCGTTATAGGTTATTATAATTTTAACTAATATTTCATTATCATTCTCGTCTATAAAATTTGTTATAACCAAGAAACGACAATATTACTATTAATATTATTAAGTAATCATTAGTTTTTATAGGAATATATTTATAAGTTCGGCTGTTTCTTTATACGACATGCTCCAACTTTGTGGTATTGACTTCAGTAAATACTTTAATTCTTCTCATAAACTATTGTAGCTTAATTGTAAAAATACCTTTATTTACCTTAAAATATTATAATATCTGATAACTTTAATTTTTCAGCAATTATTGTATTATAGATTCTGTCATCACGTTTTCATTAGGTATAGTACGTTTTTTGTAATAAATATTTTTATTCTAGAATACAGGAATTTAAATAATATATTAAGTATATCAAAAATAGATGTTTCAAATGTAATATCCACCTACATCAAAGCAAATGTAACTCAAGAAGAGATTGTGTGAAATATCTCTTCCAGTAATTATATAGCAATGATTTCTGAACTCACTTGATATACAAAATCAGAACATAATCAATAACTAATGCTTAGTGAAAACTCGTAATTGTTTAATGTGTTGATTCGTTTCAAGTATTTCAATATGAATGACTCACATTTCTCCAACCAAGAAATACTTGGTTACAGAGAACATTTGGTTAGGGTGTTATTTCGACTATTTATACAAACGTATAATTTATAAGAAAAATACTTACGTAGATAGGATCACTCAAACAATATTAAACATATTTTTGTACAAATTACATATTATGACTAAACATCTTATGGAAGTATTTAAAACATATCGTTTAAAAAAAACCTAGTATCAAATACTTCCTTGATTATTTAGCCACAAAAAAAATATAAAAACTATGTGTTAATATTGTCGATGAACCATCTATTTTTCCTTTTCTATGCATAAAATGTCTTCTCTTATAAGGTTAAGACAATTCTTTTAAATCTAACTTCCTAAAGCGGTGCAGTAGGTTTAATAAGTAAACTATTTTCTTATATATAAACTAATTTTCATTCAGATATAACTCTGAAAATATCTTTTATAGATATTTTATCGTTGTAAAATGAATTACAAAAATAAACAATATAGATTTAAATAGAACGGGTTAATAATTATGATATTTCGTTATCATGTCTGACAGTATAATTAATCAAAAATAATACCGTAAACAAATTCCAGACAACTCATTAAACAGGTAATTTTCTAAATTGAAATGAAAATAACTTCATGGATATAATAATAATACTTTTTGAAAATAGCAATTTCTATGTTGTAATTAAAAGTAAATTTATAAGAAGGATTAAAGCACTGATTTTATTTACAAAACTGTGCATACGCCTTCGCCGTACTGTGCCGGACTGCCGAGGCGAGCGAAGGAATCACCACTTATATTTATAACCTCCGATCGAGACGTCCGATAATACCGTCTCTTTCTTGAATAATCTACACTCGCACGCTCGATCGAGACGTCCGATAATACCGTCTCTTTCTAGAGTAATCTACACTCGTACGCTGCTTGTTAGCATCTTAAAAGGTATAAATATTCGTTTTATCTGCAATAAATTCATTCCAGTTTCAACCTCACTCGTAGTTTCATTAATCTCTGCACCATAACCGCTACATCTGGTGACCCCGACCAAGAAGCTGAACTCGTAGGAAACATTATGGAAGAAAAAAAGCAAGAAGAAATTATCAGCGGCGAAAATATAAGCGCAATCTCTGTACAGTCAAGACTACTACCGTTTTGGCGCGAATATCCCAGAGCCTGGTTTATTCAATTCGAAGCCGTCGTCGACCCGCTTAAGACATCCGATGACCAAAAGTTTCGCTACGTTCTGCAACAACTTCAATCAAGCGACCTCCAACATCTCACTGATATTTTATATCAGCCACCCGCCGTTGATAAATACCAAGCAGTGAAGACACGACTACTTGCCGCCTACGAAAAATCCGACGTCAAGAATTTTCAAAAACTCATCAGTGGTCTGGAACTCGGAGACCAGAAACCTTCGCAACTCTTAAGAAAAATGCGAGAATTGAGTAGCGGCATGGTAACAGATGAAGGACTTAGAATCGAATGGTTGAATCAACTGCCTACTCAAGTCCGTGTCGTACTATCGGTGAACACGGAGGCTGCCTTAGACACACTCGCCGCGATGGCCGACAAAATGTTAGAGTACACTGAACGTCCCAACATCTCCGCAGTGTCATCTTCGAGTGCAACAACCTCTTCTACACAATATGAAGCATTAGCGAAGCAAATCGAAAATCTTACCCTCGAAGTTGCTGAACTACGACGTGGTCGTGCTCCGTATCGCCAATATCGCCGTCCCTTTCACTCACGCTCACGCTCGCATTCGAGATTACGCAAGACCTCAAAAGTAAAGCCGGGAGATGCTACATGGGAATGCAAGTATCACTTCCGATTCGGTGATAAAGCGAAGCGCTGCGTTTCTCCGTGTTGCAGAAGAAATAAGAAGTCGGAAAACTAATGCCGACACCGACTGTGGCGGACGTCGGTGTCAACAGCACCAGTAAACGCCTTTGTGTACACGATCGCGACTCTCATGAACGTTTCCTCGTGGACACAGGCGCAGACATATCTGTATTGGCCGCCACTCACAAGAAAAGCACCAAGTCTTCAACAACCTTTACACTATATGCAGCAAACAGTTCACCCATCAAGACGTATGGAACCAAGACCATCGATCTAAACTTAGGTCTACGTCGCAACTTTCGCTGGACATTCGTCGTCGCTGACGTGAAAACTTCAATACTAGGCGCCGACTTTCTATGTCACTTCAAACTATTGGTGGATATATATAAGAAGAAACTAATTGACAAATCCACACAACTGTCAGTTGATGCCCTGGAAACCAAAATGTTTGGCGAATCAATCCACATTGTCAGCAGCAATCAAGTTTATCATGACATTTTGAAGCACAACACTAATGTTCTGCGACCAATGTCACTGAAACGACCGCCACAACATGAAGTGGTACACTATATTGAAACAACCGGGCCACCACTCTCCTGTCGTCCGCGACCTCTTCCACCGGACAAATACAAAGCGGCCAAGGAAGAATTCAACCGTATGATGGAGATGGGAATATGCAAACCTTCAAAAAGTCCTTGGGCAAGTCCGCTTCATGTAGTCAAGAAGAAAGATGGCACACCACGTGTATGTGGAGATTATCGACGCTTAAACGCAGTCACTCTTCCCGACCGCTACCCGATACCACGCATTCAAGATTTTACTTACCAACTTCACAACAAAAAAATATTCTCCAAGCTGGATATGAAAATGGCTTACTACTCCATCCCTATTTCAAAAGAAGATGCGCAGAAAACATCCATCATTACACCCTTTGGAATGTTTGAATTCAACTGTATGACTTTTGGACTTCGAAACGCAAGTCAAACGTTTCAACGCTTCATGCACGAAGTACTGAGAGGGATAGAAGGATGCTTCTGTTTCATTGATGACATTCTCCTGTCAGCTGAGAACGAAGAAGAGCATCAAAAACTTCTTCATCAAGTTCTTCGACGATTGGACACTTATGGCGTAACATTGAACTTGGACAAATGTGAATTTGGTAAAGAAAACATAAACTTTCTAGGCTACGAAGTATCGCACGCCGGCATCAAACCTGCAATGGAACGCGTGCAAGCTATAACGAACTATCCGAAACCCGAAACAATCATCGAACTCCGCCGTTTTCTCGGAATGCTAAACTTTTACCGAGATTGTTTACCTCATCAAGCTGAACTTCAACTTGAACTCAACAAATACTTACACAACAGAAAGAAGAACGACAAAACGCCTATTCCTTGGACTGCAAAAGCAGAATCAGCCTTTGAAAATTGCCGAAAAAGCATCACGGAGGCCACCACACTCAGTCATCCTCAACCAGGCAGCTCTCTCGCTATCATGACAGACGCATCAGATCACAGCCTAGGCGCTGTTCTCAATCAGGAAGTCGAAAAACACTGGAAGCCATTGGCATTTTTCTCTAAAACGATGAGTGCTACTCAGCGTCGCTACAGTGTGTACGATCGCGAATTATTGGCGATCTACGCAGCTGTAAAACATTTTCGTCGCTTAATCGAAGGCTGCGATGTAACTGTGTATACAGATCACAAACCGCTCGCTTACGCACTAACAAGATCAGCAAGTTCGACCGACACACCAAGACGTGAACGTCAACTTAATTTCATAAGTCAATTCTGTTCGAGCATTAAGTATATCAAAGGAGAAGAAAATCCAGTTGCCGACGCATTATCACGGCTATATGAAATCGACTGCCCCACGACTATCGACTACGAACAACTTAGCGCGGACCAGCACATAGATGAAGAATTGAAATTATTGAAGAAACAACCCAATCTGAAATTTCGAGAAACACGAGAAACAACCCAATCTGAAATTTCGAGAAACACGAGAAACACGACAGTCAGTACTTCAGGAGCAACGAATACGGTGAGAGGAGTTTCATCGAAGCGCACAGTTCCAGAACAGCCTTATACAACAAGAAGTGGTCGCATTGTTAAGAAAACTGTACGCTTCTCTTGAGGGGGAGTGATGTGCATACGCCTTCGCCGTACTGTGCCGGACTGCCGAGGCGAGCGAAGGAATCACCACTTATATTTATAACCTCCGATCGAGACGTCCGATAATACCGTCTCTTTCTTGAATAATCTACACTCGCACGCTCGATCGAGACGTCCGATAATACCGTCTCTTTCTAGAGTAATCTACACTCGTACGCTGCTTGTTAGCATCTTAAAAGGTATAAATATTCGTTTTATCTGCAATAAATTCATTCCAGTTTCAACCTCACTCGTAGTTTCATTAATCTCTGCACCATAACCGCTACAAAACTATAGTAGGTTTACTAAAAATACATTTTAGGTATATCTCTTAATGAAAATAATATTCAATCTTCAGTTTTTACAGAATATTGATTGACATAAGGTACTAATAGGTACTACAATTAATCGGAACTCGAAGGTCACCATTAGTTATTATTAAATTGGTGTTATAATATACCTTAAAAAATATATTCCAATAAGATTATGGTTTTTTTTTGCGAATTAAAACGAAATTACCTAATGAAATGAAATTACCTAAAAATAGTAGCTTACCAATAAGCAATTTATTCAAATAGCTTAAGAGTTAGCTATAACCATAATTTTGAAATATATGAACTGGATATCGAACGAAAAGTCTAATTGATACTAATCATCTCTAAATTATATGCCATTGTATTAAGCACTTAAAAAAGATTTATAAAATTGCAGAAACAGTTCTTTAGAGACACAATTTTATCTATTAATTAGTTTTTAAGTTCATAAAAAACATGCAGTTATTATGTTTGCCTAAATGATGTTAAATTTAGTATAACAGTGAGGAGGTTCTTCACATTGAAATAAAAACTGTAAAAAAAATCATACACCCACTAATTCACATATATGAAGTTACATATTTGGAAGAAACATTTAAAACTTATGTTAATGAAAGTGTTATATAATATGGTTTCCCTTATTTAAACTTGAAGTAAGATTTATTTGTAAAATATGAAGAAAGTTTTAATATTTCTTAGAAATCTTAAAAAAATTTCAAACTAGGTAATTTGAATGAAAATTTCAGGGTGTATTATTGTTGAATACTTTATGAAAAAATCTTCTTACTTATTCTTTACCCATTCTTCATAAGGAAGTGAATCTCACATACTACTATCTTTCTTATCTCTTCCTTGTAGCAAAAGACACAAAAACTATCCGATAAGAAACTTGCCGCATACTTTCCGCTAGAGAAAAGTTTCCCTACACCGACGACGATAGAGCCTAATATGCAGAGCTCAATATTCTCAATCACTTCACTGGCTTTTTCAAAAACCTAATTAAGTCGAGAGGTTTAAGTTACAGCATATTACATAACAACGGTCCTACTGAGTTATGAAAAAGAGGTCACAGGTATCCTATTTTAGGCATATATTTTATGACCGTACTCAAGTCCGGTAACACTAAAAAAATGAAGCCTTCCATCTTTGCTAGAATTTTCTGGTCGAACTATTATTCATCATGATTTGGCTTCAACTTCAGACTAACTTTAGCAGCAGATTATTATCTTGTACTAAAATTTTTCAGTTGGTTAACTTGAGAATAGATTATATATATCAAAACCATTGTGTTAATATGAAGTGTAAAAAAAGTATTTGAACGTGCCGGTCTTATTAGTTCATTGTACTCATATTTAATTCGATTTCAAGTTTTTCAGCGAGCAAAACATAATTTTTATCAAACGAATGGATAGCATTATGTTTGTAAGAATAATCGTAAAAAAGTTTAACAAGATAATTTTGCTAAATTGCTTTAGAGAGCTGTAATGTTAGTATGAGGTAATAATATTAATTCACTCTCACAGGTTCAATGTTAGTACGTACGTACATTCTCCCCGTATGTTTAATGCAATAAGAAGACAGTCTTTAAGTTTCACGTAGTTTTGATGTAAATTTTGAGTGAAATCTATTTTTACTCTTTAAAAACACCTAAGACCTATTTAAACCAATACTTTTTAGGGTTTTATGAAAATGTATTGCATATTTTTATAAAAAGACATTAACAATTGTATATACACTCGTATATATGTATTATTTTAAAACATTTTTATTTATGACTACCACATCATCACAGACAAACATAAAATGACCGACATCATGTCTTTTATAAACTGATAAAAAAAATTTGACCACTACGTGGTTTTTACTTTTAACAATATAGATAAAGCCCTTTGTTCCTACATAAGATTTTTAAATTTAAATAAAAAATTCCTATCCCCGGAATTTTATTTATAACATCTGGCTCATTAATACATATTTTTTGTGTATCTTGAACCGTTTTCACGGCGCACGCAACGGAAGGAAATGATGAAATAATTTTTCCCGTTTTTTTGCACATTTACCACTATATCTATGCTCCTAATGGTCGTAGCGTGATTTTATAGAGCCCACAGCCTTCCTCGATAACTGGACTATCCAACACAAAAAGAATTATTCAATTCGAACCAGTAGTTTTAGAGATTAGAGCTTTCAAACAAACAAACAAACTCTTCAGCTTTATTATATTAGTATAGATAATATATAAATTGATAATGAACGTTTATAAATATTAAAAAATATTCACTTTAATAGATCCACCCTTGAAAAGAAAAAACGTGACTTCACTTTTATTTATGGGATGATGTTGTATTTGATGTTATCACTTTGCTAAAGATTTCTTTCACATTTACTTAATAACAACATATGCTTCGAACAATTTTCCATTTATATACAAGTATTTACCGTATTTATCTTCACTTACCGCACAAAAAAATTCTAACGAGTGGATGAACAACTAAACGAATGCTATAAACTATTGAGTAAGTGAGAAACAGCAAATCATAGTTAGTTTTATGGTTACTTTTATCTGGTTTTATGTATTATATTATTAT